TAGGACAACTTTAATATTGATATTTGAAAATATCAAATGGACCCAAACTCACGACAAACATTATAAAAATACAAAAATATGATACTTTTTAACATCTGTTTGCTATGCATCTATGAAAAATATTGTATGATGCTGAGTAGAAAAACAATCTTCCCAGCGTTGCTAAATATAGTCAATTTAAATGCACATGCCAGGGAGCAGTTAAGGGTAGCTATATTTCCTGAATTGTTCAGAAAATATAAGCATGGCTATTTTTTAACTGTTTTTTTATTTGCCTGATCAAATTTAGACCTCAGCACTGCAGCTTGGGGAGGATAGATGATGGATAAGTGTCTTCCAATCTCTCTGTCTAGCCAGAGCGTCTTTTTCGCATATGGTCCTAATCATCACTGGTTGTCCTGTTGGTGAGTTCAGGAGAAGGAAGCTGAGCACAGCCTGTCCTATTGCACGGACTAGATCACAGCGTGATGCACAGAATGGACCTCCTGATTCCAACAAGTTCAAGCTTGGTATTCTCAGGAAAAAAAAAACATGGTGTGTCAACTAGAGCAAGTTAAGTAAATCAAGTGACTTAGAAACCCCTTGTCTCTGATGTTCTAGATAAGTGGGTTGAATAAATGTCTAATTATTACTATACTATCATTATTATAAGTTTCCATCCAACATCAGCAATTCCTTAGACACATAATTCCATTTAAGTCTCATGACTCCGATACGCTTTCAAACTGTTTACCATTTCAGTGGTGCGAAGAGAAAGAGGACTACAGTTTCATTTTATGATTAATATAACATTAACAGTCAGAAATTCTTCCATTCCTGAAGGCTAAATTTGGATTTACCTTATTTTATTTGACTGTTACAAGACACAGGGTTTTATTGACGCCATTATAAATTATAAAGAAGCTGTAAGAATCAACAAAAAACACAAAAACAACTTAATTCATTGCCTGACTACTTACTGATACCACTCTTGCACAGACATTCCATGAAATGTTCTGCAGCTTCACTGAAACTTGTCTCAGTTATCCTCATGGTTTGCTATTTGCTAGAATATCTCAATTAAATTCCACTGAATTCAGTAAATGGATTACAGCCTTCAAAATCAAACTTGGTGCAAGCTCTGGATATGAATAGTGCACATAAGGAAAATGTTTTTTTCATTAAAAACACTCAAGATTTTACACATTAAAAATTCAAGAAATTATTTATAGTAAAGTAATGAAAATACAATGGTTACATAAAACTATTAGAATATCCTTTCATGAATACCCTATATACAGTCTTTTTTAAAAAGTATTAATAAATCATTCCATCTCTGTTCAAAATAGTTAAAATGGTTAAAACAAACATTTTATTAGACGTAAATGTATATTATTTGTGCATATATGCATAATGCAGAACTAAGATGAAAAGGTAAATGAAAAAATCTGCTTTTATATTTTAATAAGTTATATAATTCAAAACATGATAAAGACATTTGACCTTATGTGAATATTATTTCACCTTAAAGCATTGATTGCTGCAGTATCTGAAATTAAATGCAATATATTTTTTATAAGTCCATGAGATGCAAATGTGTATCTGTATTTAATAAAATACTAAACAAAAAATGATTTTAAGGGAAACCAAATGTTAGCCACAAGTAATAACACCTAAAGTAAACTTTCATCTGTAATCATTTCTAACAATAATCCTCTCATGCAAATTACATTTCTGGTGTAGAGTATAGTAGTACACATATGTAGTACATTTGAATTAATATCATTTTTACCATTACTAAAGGGTTTCTTAAATGTTAGTTCTACTTTATAAATACTCCACAGCTGTATTTCAAGACATTAATCACTTGCAGTTTGCAAGTGCAACTGCTTAATTCAACTGTTTGTACTGTATCACTTTACATGGCACAGACAATAAGAATGCAAAAATCCAAAATGACTCTGTGATACTGGAACTCTCATACTTCAGTTTTAAATTAGGAAATTAAATTTAATGGGCCAGATTTTGATCACAGAGCAAAGCACTACTGAAAACAAACAGCAAAGAACCAGATTAACTAACTCAAAGTTGGGTCAAAGTGTCAGCTGCACTGCATGCTACAGTACTTCTTAACCACACTCTCTTTCCACAGTGGCGTTAGTGACTGTGGCCTGTCGACCTTCTGGAGTGTGGTCTAATTAACGATGGCTTGTGAAGCAATGATGGTGTGAAGTGAGTTCGAGTCTTTGAATTTGCATTTTAAAAGAGCCATCTCAGGAAGACTTCTCAGTGCAATCCTCTGGGATAATCAGGAATGAGGAATAACAGACTATAAATAAGGGGCGTTGAGCTGGGTGTTGTGGGGTAACTGAAATGTTCAAAACCGAAAGCAGAAGAAGCAAATGAGAAAATACACATAAATAGAGAGTAGAGTATTAACAAAATGTTAACTATAAATTATGTATGTATTTGTATCTCTAAAAAAAGTTGTACAGAGTTTTACCTGATTGGAAATAAATAGACATATAGTTTACTTTGCATTGGAGTGTCTCTCACACTTTCTAACAAGGTGCTACATACAGTACAGTATATACAGTCTACTGTATATATTTACATAAATAGAAAACATAATCTTATTGTTAAAGGAGAAAATTCACATTTATCAAAAGAAAAGAAAGGAAGAATATCATATTAATGTTTCTGAGTCTGTGTCTTTTTCTTAATACAGACACTAAATATGTACTGTAAGTTTCCTTTGTACCACTGGCAGATAGGAGACGTGGGAAAACCACATTGTACATACAGTATGTCACACTAAATCTACTACTTCTAAAATCTTATTAAATAAAGTACCAGAAAATGTTTTTAAATATTATTAATAATAATGTTCTTCTTTTTTTTCTAATGCCCAAGTAACAACTCAAAAAGGTGAGAAAATAATGACAAAAGCAAAGATGATGAAAATGTAAAAAATACAGCAAAAGACGAAGATCAGAGAATAACAGCTCAGGTTTACAGTAGCAATATCTTTTCAATGTATATTTAAAATAGCTAATGGTATCCTTGTAATTATACAGTTTAGGTGCTAGCCAGGAAAATGTTCAATGGCTCAAAGAACACCACTTTTGGTTTAAGTAGCAACAGCCAAAAGACTGCAACCTGCATATGGAGCATATGCCGAAGTTGTAAGGTGCTAAACCAAGCCGAACCTTAAAAAACAAGAATTCAGTAAAAAGCTAATGCTGAAGTGACATGAGCATAAGATTAAGTTTAATTAGAATTTGTGCTGAGGTCTGGACATATGGCAGTTTGTTATGAGTGAGCATTGCATTACTGATTCAATATGAGAAAAAAAGCATGTACTTTATGATCCTCTCGGTATCTGGCTTTTTATGGCAGGAGTGAGGAGAGGGATGAACAAAATTATGTAGGTAGAAAAAAAGGTACTTTAATAATATTATGAATATTCCTTCGTAAGCTAAGTTTATAAAAATTACACTACTTAACTTTTTTACAGATAAGCATGGCTAAAATTCAAACCCACCAATAACCACCTTCAGAATTTCATATTGACGAAAGAATGATCCTGGCTCAGTGTGGTCTTTCATGGTTCAAATTAAGGAAATGCTGGTGTATTCGATTTTTAACATCACTCAAGCACACAGTTAAAGAAGACAAGGAGTAATCAAAAAATGTTCCTAGAACTGACCTTTGTGGTACACCCAATGCAACTATTTTTTTGGGTATTGAACATTGCCCATTTTTTCCTTACAGCCACTTATGTAAGATTTAACCAAAAAGAGAAAATAACTTGTATTAACTAAAGCCTTTTCCAGTCAAGCCAGCAAAATAGTCTAAATTATTTTTTAAACTCATTAATGATTTTAGCTAATGTGCAACAGAACACTTAAAATAATTTTAAAAATTCATTTAATAATGTGTATATACAAATAAAGGAATTGAAATGACTACTCTTCAAATGCTGCAACAAAACAGTTACCTAATAGTATCTGAATTCATTTTTGACTAATGTTTAGGAATGAACAACTCAGCAGGGAGATATTGCTAGTGGTGTGGTCACCACATTTGCATGTACTAAGGATTATTTGTAAAAAGCAAGTGAACCTGTTATGATGTTTATGCATTCAGTAAAAATGTTATTACACACTAGCATTACATGCACCAACTCTGGTTGGTGTTTAATAATAATGATATAGACATTGATGTTTTCACTTTATTTTGATGTTTTGGAGCTGTTTTTTTCTTTTTGTTCCTAACAGATCAACATTAAATCCTTTTAAAAGATACCAGTGTAATTTACAACTAGCCAGTAGTAGTAAGGGTGTTAGGCAAGCTAATTTCCCCATCTTTTGTTTGTGCTGGGTGCTACGCTTGTCCAAAACTTCTCTCTTGGTACAAGCCACTCCCTTTAGCATGAAGCCAATGATGTCACATAATGCCCTAGCACTAAGGTTATCTAAATTGGGCAACAGTAAGTTCCATGTCCCAATTATTATTAGAGATCTTGGCAGCATAACAACATTCTCAGTACATTATGCAATGCTCAGGTACTGGCACAGTCAATTACAGCCAGGAATAGTTTGAACATGAAGCAATATTTAAAAACAAAAGTAAGCATTTTTGATGCCCACAATCTACTAACAAAAGGAAAAATGTAAAATTTAACTTTTCTGACAGCCGCCAGTCTCCAACATTTTCTAACAACTTACATATTTAATAGCTGAACAAATATTTTCTTTCATAAAAATGTCCAGGCATTCATATCATTTTTCAAGTGCAAATAGATTAAAATGATATAAAAAAGACTTCATTTGTATTTCCAAAATGGACAAAAATTACAGCATTTAATTCCTCAGTAGAATTATGCCACTTTTATAAAGAAAATTACACTAACCGCAAATTGCTCGCAACAATTCCAATACTTCTTAGCTTGACCACTTTAAAATCAGACTTTTCTGAGATTATAAATATAACTTTTTTATAGCTCTGTTATTACGTACTGTGAATGGGGAGAGTGGGCCAATCTTGTGGCTGTAGCGCCGGATCGCTTCTCTGATGTGGGAGGGCTGGATGGCATTGCTTTGAGCCTCCAGACCACAGGCTGCAGCGCTCTGCAACAGAAAAACACATAAATTGTTGCTAAATCAAAAACACTGCTTTCCGCGCTTCTCTGTACAACAGAGCAACGGTACACAAAGAAAAAAACTCAGAATGCCGGGACCTCCAAAAGAACACAGCAAATACATTTTGTGACAAATTTCATTAAGTCCGCAGAAGGGAGATGCATGACCGTTCAAAGACTTTTGAGTCTTGCATAATAAAAAACAGAAATGGAGATGCCTGTTTTTCTGTTGTTCTTTTCCGTCTTCTTAAAGATGTACCACTAATGTTTAAAAGGTTCATAGGGTTATTCATCAATAAAACCTCTTTCTGGTGCTGCTTTTCAACAACAAATCAATACCTACTAAAAGACAGGCTATTTATCAAAATATCAACCTAATTATAATAAACACTTTCATATAATAAAGGAAACCTTCAAATAAAAAAATATATTTTATATACATTTATACAGTTATTTACCTGCAATCAATGAGCTGTATCAAAAACTACCAGTTTATACAGTAGTTGACAAATTATTACATCCATCTATTGTCTAACTGCTTCATCCAATTCAGGGTCACGGGATAACCAGCATCAATCCTGGCGAGCAGCAGGCATAAGGAGGGGATATACTGCAGACAGGAATACAGTCCGTCACAGGGCACACAGACAGACACAAACTCACACCAGGGCCAGTGGTCCCAGAAGCCAATTAACCTACCAGCCATCTTTGGACTATGGGATGAAACAGGAGCAACCAGAGAAAACCCTTGTGAACACAGGGAGAACATACAAACTCCATACGGCTAGCACCCCAGGAACTGAACCCAGGGGTCAAGGGCTTTGAGGCGGCAATGTTAACTACTGTGCCACCCTGCTGCCCTTTATTACATCCAACACATAACAAAATATTTGCTGCTGGAAAAGGAGGAAAAAATATCATTTTGGCATTTTCTTAAAAGAGGAAAAATAATCTGACAAAATGTATTGTGCTTGCCAAAAACGTAGCTGCACTGTACATTTTAGCAACGGACAGATCAAATACAGTACATGGATTACATTAATTATACTATCTACAGAACTTTTACTTTCTACACTTATTGTTTCATTCATGAAAGTTTAAGTTTTCACTGAAATATTTAGATTCTTACAAGAATTTGCCAGCAGACAAAAAAAATGTGCTTTTACAGTGCTGTGTCGTGAATCCTGGTTAATCCACTTTAATCTGTCTTCAACCAATGTGGTCTGTTTAGATATCCCCTACATCTTAATGTCTCACTCCTGCTTGGAATTATTTAATAAAATACAGCACAGAAATTTATGAGATGGCTGAGATCCCTCCACCGGATGTGCCTATCGCCATATTAAACACAGACTTCACTAAAACGAAAGCAGGATTTACTAAACTATGCAGATTACAAACAAACCAAAGAAATGCACTTCTAGTTTATTATCTACAGGAACTAGCCGCTCAATAAATCAAATTGCACATGATGCAGTGGTACTTTTTTTAGCATTATATCTCATGATATAAAGTGCAGAGACAGAGTTTCCTTATGAAGATAAAATTAACAAATCATATGCTAAAAAATAGGCTTATATTCTAAATGTTTTCTGATATTTAAATGGGTTTTCAAAAAACTTATTTAACCTGTGTTTTCTTGTTTCTTTTATACTACATATCTTGTTATACAGTCTGTGTGAAATCTACACAACTAAGTACAATTTCAATATATAACAGTTTAACAACAGTTAAAACTGAGTTTTAATTGAGTTTTTTTAGCTTGTTTTTACACAATTTTGCAAAAGGTTTAAAAATTGGGTTTTGTCATTTAAAAATAGGTTTACATGGCAGTGGTGCTGCCTTTTGAATCATGCAAATGTGCGGCAGTGATCTGCAACCCAGCGCTGACAGACTGCAGTGCTTTACTGGCACAGACTCTACAGTATGTGACGCAGTTCCAGTAACTGCATTTACTGAAGTGTGCCTTCACAGGAGCTGGCTGAGAAATGCTCACATGAGCTCAGTGAGTATGCATTCTTGTTCTTGTTATCAAGTGCTTTGGATTCCTCTTTTGAAATCTAGGAATCTAGTTCCTCAGTCCTAGGCCTGCACGACTGACATTGTGGCAGATTTTCTAAGTCCCCTTAAAGCACTAGCAAATACATTATTTACTGTGTGACAATAGCTATTGTCTGTGTTAACACAAATAATATCATTTCTATTTAATGCATTCTTAAGAATGAAATAGTACTGAACCCTGGTCATCTAGTTATTCTTTATTCCTTTCTGTGTGATAAAGAACACAAAACAAGAGAAAGGGAAAATGGAAATGTAATTTACAAATGCTAATATCTGTTTTAGTGTATTTTGACCTCATAGAATAGGAGCACAGTTTTCCTGTTTAACTGTTGTTTTCTTTCTCATATGATATCACTACCGGCCTCTGCCATCTCCCGGTGACTCCAACCCCAAAGACCCCTGCATCTGTGAATAGAGCTTCATGAGAGATGCATGAGAGATAACTTTATCATGTAAATCCTACTATTGTTTTTTATGTCAATGGACAACAGGACAACAGCAAATCAAATAAACCTAAATGCCCTCTACAAACAGAGGGGTCTTAAAAAAGGTAAACATTGCTTATCTTTCTGAAATTCATAAGCAAATGAAAGCTAGTAAACTAGTTAAGCTCGAAGGAATACCAATTCAGGATGATTAACAAACTAATGATCCTGAAAATCTACATTTTTATGTAGAAACAGATAAAAGAAATTCAAAAAGAATAAATTTCACATCTGGGAAAATAGCTGGAAGGAAATCTTATAAGTGAAAAATGTGTTGATTTTTTCCCCCTAGAAGTTTGGTTATTGTTTAAGTAAACACTACGGAAATGTATAATAATAGACTAGTTCAAGAAAATACTAAATTCTGTTCAGTTATTATCTGCGTTGTGTCATTCTGGGATTTAGGCAGGCTTGTACAGATTCAATGGGCACCAGAGAAGAGAAACCACAGAAGAGTTCGTGTTTCTTTTAATGCTGAGCTATGATAAACAGTATTAACAATGCATGGGTTTAAGAGATTGTGAATGTAAAGTATACCCTATATGTTGAAAATTTATCTTCCAAACAAAAATTATCAGTGAACTGTAGAGGGTTTTGTACCTCAATGGCAAATTGCAATATTAACAATTTAAATATATTGATCTAAATATAGTGCAGACTTGTACCAGCCACAATGCAACTTACAGAACACGATATTCAAATTACCATTCAAAACTAATTTTTAATTTGACCTCTTTTTTGTTTTTTATGTATTTATTTGCTTTTAAATATAAGGTTTTTAAAACCACTATGTATAATATATATATATTAGATCTGTTTTCTAATCACAATTTAAATACAATAATGAATAATTCTGTATTCTGTAATTCTATATTTTATTAGGTCCCTTTTCAGGCTATAATATTTTAGGCCTATTTGGGGAATGGACAAGCATATCCTTGATCACTGGTCTCTGAACCCTAGGTGACACACATCCTATCGCATCCCACTAGTGGCGTTCAGGCCTGGCAAGTAGGGCATCTATGGCATAACTGTCACACTCACATCTTGCAAGAAAGCTGTTGTTACAGTAGCAGCATGAGGATTCAGTGGCATATGTTGTGTCCAAAGAAAGAGCAGCAACTGAAGTTCCAGAACTTCCAAAAATCCACATAATGTTGGTCAGTCAAGTTGCCATTAATTGCTACAAGGAAAGCTCTGCAACTAGACACTTCTACCAAGACCATCACATTTTGACTTCCTTATCAATGCCAAATGTGCTAAACTTCATCAGGGTGGTCTATGCAAAATCTTGCTTCATCACTAAACATAGCCTTGACTCCACTACTGACAAGTCCACTTAAGGTGATGCTCCAACATACCAATCATAAAAGAACCTTTCTTTTTAATGACGGTGGCATACTAGATTATTGTTGTGTTTTTCATTTTTTTTATTTTCAACATATTGATATTTAATGGGTTAAAATATTGTTTTTACAATACTGTTAAAAATACTGTTAAATATTTAACAAAATATTGTTAAAATCATCTGTGACCAATCTTATTTCTCACTATTGAGGTTTATTAGAGTTGGGAACGAATGATTAATCAAATTAACACCAAACATATCTAATCAAAAACCAAAATCTGAATGCTTTATTTGAAAAATACATAAATTGAGTAATGGGTTTCTTATGACATTCAGTATATGTTGTTTATTATATTTTATGCCACAAAACCAAAAAAACAATGCCTCAGTATAATGTCCAAGGACACTGTGCTGTAGTGTAGTACCCCAATCTAAGTTACATACAGTACTAGATCTTACTTAATTTGGCAAAGGAAATTTCCTCTCTGGATCTGCTGTGTACTGAATGAGGTTAGTTCCTCCTCTACGCAAAGGTTTGAGATCCTGTGTCAATTATTAAAAATTATAATCTTACTAAATAAAATTCTTCCCTTTTACTTAATTTAAAACAGTAGAAATGAGGGAAAAAAGCTTCAAGCAAACTGTGTGGATAACATAAAAACAAACATTCTCTGGGTATTTAATTTTAATCAAATGCTTGCAGTACAAAAAAGAAAATTACAAGATACAGCTTGGTAGAATAATATTATGGTATAAACAGTCTGTCTTTCTTTCATATTTTGCTAAATAAACTCCAGACTTTTCAGACAACTCCAAAATCAATACTCTTTCAAGTGGGTCATTTGCTGTGCTTTTCCATAGTTGCTGGTACTGTATATTTTCTTTATTTCAAAGATTGGCAAAAATGTAATTTCATAGGCTTTTTCACATTGTCAACTTATACAATATTACAACAATACGTTAATCAGTTATCTATCAGGAAGCAGCAGCATTAGAAAAACATAAAGTATCTCTGCCCTTTTCAGATAACTTGATTTCATGCTTGTGTAGGATGTCAGACTGAATATACCACCATTTAAAAATTCTATCATTTTTAGCATGGCAAGACTGTCATGGCAACACATCTACCAGTAAATGAAGCATACATCAAACTTCTCTGCTCTTGGCAACACTAGCTTGACATTATTCCTGTGTCAACATGTCAGATAACAATTGACACTTGAATAGAGGATGGAGGTCATGGAGTAGGAAAAATTTTCAAACGTGCTTTCACAAAGCATGAGCATATTAGTGTGTTCACGTGCAAACATTAACTTATTCAGTCAACATACCCACCTGTGACACAAGTAACACAGGTCACATATTAAATGTTTATATGTGACACAGGTAAGTGTTGTGGTGATGATGAGCTACACATAGTATGGTGATTACCTGCAGATTTTACAGATGGTATCTGACACACAGTAGTGGAAGACAACGCTACTGTTATCAACCTGTGCAGCTGTCTCATTTATCATACTGAACCTTGCACTGAGTCTCACCTGCAAAGAAAAATAACACATTTCCTATAATGGTAGATGATTTTCCAACTATCCTCTTTTTTAGCGCCTCTTCCAATTCATGGTTGTGATGGAGCCGGAGCCTATCCTAGCAAGAAACAAGTGTTATTTTTCTACTAACCTTTTTTCTTTTCCTTTGTTTCACCTTGCTGCTGGTGTCCTGACTCATGCCTCCATTCCCCAAGGATCCTGAGTGGGTCTTGCCTGAATGCTGAGAGCTGGTCACTGGTGGAGTGGGTGTAGAAGGAGGGGTGTTCTCTGGAGAATCAGGATTGCTCTTGACCGCTGCAGACTGCCCTTGCAGGTATACCTACAAAAGCAGGATTTACAATAATAATAATAATAATAATTGCTTACACTTATAAAGTGCTTTTCTGGAAACTCCACTCAAAGCGCTTTACAGGTAATGGGGACTCCCCTCCACCACCACCAATGTGCAGCATCCACCTGGATGATGCGACGGCAGCAATAGTGCACCAGAACACTCACCACACATCAGCTATCAGTGGAGAAGAGCAGAGTAATGAAGCCAATTCATAGATTCGGATTATTAGGAGGCCATGATTGGTAAGGGCCAATGGGAAATTTGGCCAGGACACCGGGGTAACACTCCTACTCTTTTTGAGAAACACCCTGGGATTTTGAATGACCACAGAGAGTCAGGACCTCGGTTTTACGTCTAATCTGAAGGACTGCGCCTGTTTACGGTACAGTGTCCCCGTCACTATACTGGGGCAAGGTGAGCAACCCCTGCTGGCTCCATTAACACCTCTTCCAGCAGCAACCTTAGTTTTTCCCAGGAGGTCTCACATCAAGGTACTGACCAGGCTCACACCTGCTTAGCTTCAGTGGGTTGCTAGTTATGAGTTGCAGAGTGAAATGGCTGCTGGCTCAAGAAAAACAACAAATAATTATTTTCCCTGTTAGTTGCCCAGTTTTGCAGTATTCACATGCAATTCAATGTGAAATGTGACTGCACTATTGCACTGCAATGTAAATATAAACACTTGTCTCCTATAACAGGTTCTGTGAAATACATTGCTTAATTTTTCTCATGTAAAACCAGAAGAAAAGAAATACTGAGGCTGGCTTTCCCACAGTATGCATGGTTTCAGAGTGGTGACCACAATCAAGTCTACAAATGGCGAGCCAATACTAGCTAAATCCATGTCATATCACATAAAAGCTGGATTTTACATTATAGTTACCTGGCTGCAGAATTAATGAACTATGGACAAAAAAGTCTGACTAGATGAAGCTCTCATGAGTCAATGAAAACAAATTTAATTCTACAACTCTTTTGACAGGCAAAGGAACCGTAGTCCATCTTCATGCAATTAAGGAAGATCAACCGTACTGCTCACATTTTAGGTTACAACTTCTTCACATAGGGTAGAATCTTAAATCTTGAAACGTAAAATTGCTCAGAATACTATAAACCAAAAGAGTGGAACTAACTGTAAAGAATAAAAAATGACAGATCTTAAAAGAACATGATGTTCTAGATTAGGATGCAGTCATCAATTTTCCAAAAAGAGTTAATTACGAAGACGGACAATATCATCTCTAAAGCAGAATTATGGGGCCTTTTGTTCAGTTTCCGTGTGACACAGTAAACCTGGTTTTTTTGTAGTGGTCCATATTACGTAGCTTGCTATTGGAATATGAACACAGGAGGTTAACAGCAAAATTTATAACTCTAAATTTTCTTTTTTCCACCTCTCATTCTTTATCAGAAGTACTGGATTCCAACTCCTTCCTTGCTTTAAAAGACACTTTATAATTGCCGTAGGCTATTTAACCAGATTTCCCACTGAATTGTTGTATATAAAAAGACATAGCTTCAAGTGAGGTTTACTGCCAAGCCACTTACTTTTCCTTCATAAAAAAAATCACCATGCAAACAACAAAGCTACATAGATCTACACTCCAAGTGATGACAGCAGAAGGGGTCAGTGAACTGGGACTCTTAATCCTGTTGTCAGATCAACAGTGACATTCCGAAAAACTGCTACAAGACAACCCTGGCTGTTAGTTTAGACAATGACATCTGGTCCCCTGACTGAATCATAAAACCAGTTTCAAGAGAAAATGACACTTACTTAATGAATGACCTTTCAACAGATAGATAACTATTGTTTAAACAATTCAAAGATAAAAAACAAAGAAAAATGACAGACATTTAGGAAAAATGTTGAAACACTGCACATGCCATCACAGAACCATCTTTAGGTTTATTAGCCTTATAATTTTTTTTGCACTGACATGGTTTTTAAAATTTAATTCAATTAAGCTCATACAAGTATTTTAAACCAGCACAAGTTAATCGCAAGGCCTGTGCAGAGTACACAGATGGAGAATCACCGGTGCTTGTGCAGTATACAGGCTTGGCAGCACTTGGCTGATTGTGTCTCATTACCAGGGTCTGTACACTGTGGCCAGTAACTGACACAGCTTCCGGATCAGGACCTGTGCTGTCCAGGCCACAGATCGCATCATCTCTTCAGATGGATGCTTTTACTGGAGGAGACACAGGAAAGCCCCTGCCTTGACTCAGCTTGAATCTGTGAAAAGTGCAGTGAGCTTCTGGTTTTAGTGAAACCCCCTCTCAAGGAGTAAACTCCCACAGCACAAAACCACCTCACAATTTGGCAGCCTCAGTTGGCAAAGGTTCGGTACGTAATAGTAGGGGGTAGTTTAAGATAGGATTAGCATGAACTTGGAGACTTGGAGAGTTTTGGTAGAAAGCCTTTCTTGGTAACTACAAGCACAGACCCTTGATTCTCCATTTGCTGCCTACTGTTAAAATCACAATAATTCATACTAAATTACAAAATAACAGAACTTAAGATATTACCTCAGCTGTTGAACTGTGATATTGAATGAAAGTTGCTGATATTGCATGGCTAAAGGGATCTCCAGCTTTCGGTGTCATGTCTTGTTTTACCAAAAGAGCAAGGTCCACTAACTAAAAACATGGACAAAAAGAAATAATTACAAAATGTTACAGTGACTTTATATTGAAGATACAAATGTCTGATTAACTTAATGTATACCTACTGTTAAACATTACATTTATCTTAAAGTTACAAAGATTTATAATTTGTGTAGAGTGATACTATTATTACACACTTTAGAATTCTATAAATATGTCTGTTGTGTATAAACCTTTAAATTTGTTACTGCAGAGAAATACAATTAGGCTAAACATACCATACAGTATGTACTGTATATAATTGAAGTAACATTTCATTTGGAAAATCCTCAAGGTATCTTTTTAAGTCTAGCTTGCTGAAATAAATTTGTACTGAGCTACACAATATTATGGGGTGCAGAAAGTGGGGAAAACAGGCAGAAGTTATGCAAATGTGAACAATTGCTTCCAGGAAATGATTTCATCTTCTGTTACTTACTGGACAGTATGTCTCTTGCAGGGGTATCAAGCCTTCACAACCTAAAATAATTGTACACTACAAGCATACAAACCCCACTGCATAATATTCACACCAGCTTGAGGCTCTTTCAGACGATAGCATACCTGAGCTACAGTCTCATATGCCAAGTAAGAAAGTATTTCCATGGCTACTGCATTAGGCTTCACTTCCATACTGCTGCAGTCCAACCATTCCCGAAACTTAGATGCCTTTTTGGCTGAAAAAGACAACAAACACAGCATTTTGAATGTAAAACTACAAATACAAGTGAAACTATAGTGGTAAAGAGAGTGACAGTGCAGAGCTCCAAAATATTTTGTATAGACTAAAAAAGTACTAATATTCAATGCAAAGTTTTTATAATTTTTAATGCAGAAAATAATCTTAAGGAGACAGTTTGGGTATCTGGTAAGATGTACAGTAAGAGATTAAGAATTCAAGATTCTTACTGAGAACTGGGGGAGTGATGTAACACAAGAATATTGGACAGCAGAAATTGAGTTTTTGTGTCCGTGTATATGGGAGTGTTAGGATGATTATGATAAATGTTTGTTTTTCCTACAGTGTATAATAGGTCTCAGTGAAAATGTGCATTTTAGCTGTGTAAAATGTGCAAACTCCTGTCCTGTTACATAAAAAAAGTTTATTAAGAAACTGTGAACCCAGTGAACAGCAGAGAAAAAACCTATGCTGTATATTACAGTTTCCAAATTATACAAATTATGTCAATAAAAACACCACATCCCCCACGATGAACACCAAAGAGAGTCCTGAATGGTCGTCAATTGTTTGGAGACATCAGAGATAACAAAAAAAAAGAATACAGATGTTAAAAACTGAGACATTGCCTGTTGTGATTTATTACCCTCAATGTCACATTAAGGCTTAATAAAATAATTAAAACAAGTATTCTTAAACACGTGTATTCCAAATATATCTGGATTCATCAACTCAATGTCTGACAAAGATGAGCTATTTATAAACTAATCATGTGATTACTTTGCGCAATAGTCAATTCATCAGACCCTTGAAACAATAACTCCAGTATTTTGATCCTGTGCATGTTGGGTGACTCGGTTATCCTTTTGTTCAGTTGTCATGTACTCACTAGTAACGTTTTTAATAGCCTCTTCAATCTCTAACCTTTGGCCTTGAATCTTAGTCACCACTCATCGGCATCTGGAGTAGAGTCCGATCGCAAGATCAAGCTTGTTGATTTACAGGCTGTTATTGTCACGGGCTGCAAACACTTCCAGTAAGTAGGTTTGTGTGTTGGTAAGGCTTTAATTCTGTCAGCATGTTATTAGTGCAGGAATGCAGTGCGCTGCCCATTCTTGGTGTTTTCTGAAAAGATCCCACAGCAGGAGCGCAGAGACTTCTGTGACAAGAGCCTTTGAGAAAGACTTGCCTTTCAGACCTAAATTTAGACCCTAAATCCATGTGGTTTTCTTACAAAGCTGACAAATGGGCCAAAATATTAGCAGATCTATAGTGGTTTTCAGATTACATGAAACAATACAGCTTCAACATCCAGCCTTTATCCCTGCAATTTTCAAACATGAATGACCAATTAAAATTAAAAACAATTATATTTTAAGGTGATAAATGATATTTATTATTACAAGTAAACACAAATTAAAATACTGACACCTTCTAAAAGCTAAAGTATTTTTTAAATGTTAAATTACAGCAAGGTATATATACATACTGTCTGTTACACTACCAAACAGGCTACATGGACCAAATCACTTCCTTCTTAGATTTTTATATGGATAAAATTGACCCTTTTGTCCAATAAACATCATTAAAAAGAACAGCTTTCTAATTAACAAATTACTGTACAATTTAGCTTTTTGGTCTTCTAGAGTCAAATCCAGAACCACTAAATTTCAGCGAAAGCATTTTTATTTTTCTACTGAACATCAGGCACAGTACTTTAAAATACTATTTTGCTATAAATTCACACGACTGCAAACTGAATAGGAAACAGTATACATACCTATTTTTTATATTGTTATTGTTTGCATACATATCTTAATAGAAAACGTTCCCTATGTCGTAGAAAAGCATTTAATAAAAGAAACTAAAGTGATTAGGACCACATTGCAAAACAGAGGACACCTCTGGAGCTGTTAGTAAGGGTAAAGACATCAGGATCCTGGGGAATAACACACCAGGATGTCTGAGGCTGATGGTGAGAGAGCAGCAACCTATCTGCACAGCCCAGGCAAGTATCAAACCCACTAAGTCAAAATACATGCCCCTTCCTGCTGGGAGTCTGAAGACATGAGGAGTGACATACAGTAGCTGCTCTCGGAGCTTTAATGCAAAAGGGGCATTTTTTCAACAGTTTGCTAAATTAAAGTTTCTTACTTTAAAAAGCTTTTTCAATATTTAAGTGGATCACCCAAAACCTAAAAAATCTAACAACCCTGGCTTCCTTTTCAGTGTCAATATTTAATTTAAACTAAGGCATTACTTCTGCTTCATCAAATTTTATGGGACATTGTATATGTTTATGTTAAAGTGTAGCTTTGTGAGACACTTGTATAATACTTACAAAAGCTCAGCTGTCGACTTTCACAGAATTCACTGTACTGAGCAGGGTCCATCATTCTAGTCTGTTTATCAGCCCTCTAAAGAAAACAAAAGTTAAAATCATTACAAAATCTACCTAAATTACAGTTGTTTACAAATGCAGAACTACAATGTCTACAACACATTATAATACTGAACAAACTAGCAAACTTTGCTTTAAGAGTGCCCACTGCTCTTATTGTTCAAGTGACATTTCTTCTCCTCAGCTTTCTTGGTTTTTATGTTATCTCAAAGACAGTCTTCTCATAACTCTGTCTTTCTAGTCACTGTTGACTTTAAGTTAACAAGCTGTGCTTGTAAATGTATAAGTCAAAACCATCTGTCAAAATTGATTGATTGTTTGCTACAGTATATACACCAAATATGCAAAATAATACATCAGCAGCATTATGATATGAGAAAATATTTTATTCCAACCACAACATCAAATAAGTGGTACACATAATTGAACATTGTGTTTTCTTGAAATTATGCAGACCATTTTAATATAAATATAATATAGACTAAATCAAAAATATTATAAAAATACATCGTTCATCATTATTATCTTTCAGAAAACCAAAATATTGTCCTGACTCTCATTATTTAATATTTGTAAAAAATGTACAATAATGTTTTTCTTTACTGGGGGATTAGCACACCTTTTAATAGGTAAAAAATTACAGACATATTGTAACATACATTCCTTTCCTACAGTTGTGAGAAAAAGTTTGTGAATTTTCTGTATTTCTGCATTAATTGCTCCTAAAGTCTGATCTGCTCTTCATCTAAATCATAACAGACACAAGCAATTGCACTTTACCAAGTCTATATTGAACACATTGTTTAAGCATTCACAGTCTATGTTGGAAAAAGTAGGTGAACCCAAGGAAAATAACCTCCATTAAAAGGTATATTTGGAGTCAGGAGTTCCAATCAATGAGATGACATTCAGGGGTCAGTTTGAGGTACAACAGTAAGTGTGATGTGAAATATTTTTTGGAGAATGCCAATGTGTTTAAATGGTGAAACATGGTTTTTGATGGTAAAACACATCTTAATCAAAGGAAAATAAGTTGTATTCTCCTCTAGTAGAATGTTATAGTTTGCAGTTCAGTCCAAACATAATACATCTTTTTGACATGACCAAAAAAATCTAGATTATCTAGAGTGCAACCTATCCATACATTTTTTGAAATACACATTCTGATTTTATAATTTCCTGCTTATTTGTCTACTGGCTTTATGGAAGCTCTGCCTTGAAGTGATCCCCCTATTTGAATTGCAGTGTATAAAATCAGTTTTAGAACAAAAAAAGCAGGCATGCCATGTTTTTTTTTGTTCTTTTAAGATGTACTATTTAACCTGGACTGAACTTTGCTCTTTGTGTGTGTGTGCATGTGTCTGTGTGAGTAACATCAGGCTGACACATTGCTGAAAGGCAATCCACACTGATTACTCTGCACAGCTTTTCCATGCACCTGGGCCAATGAAAGGAATGTTCCTACTGTTTACAGGCAGCACCAGCCCTGTGTTATCGTTTAGACCATCTCCGCTTTAATCAGGTGCATGCTGCGGGAATACCATTATCCATATCAAAGCTTCCTAAACATTTGTTTCACTCCTTAAAGGCTTTTTGCTTAGTCCTTTGGCACTTTGTATAAAAAACATTTACAGTAAATGTGTTCAATTTATTAGATAATAAGCATGCATTGTACTCAAACCACCCCAGGCCTTAGTGTTATTAATGACTTCTTCACATGACAAATAATACTTTTCTGTGGCATTTGAGTACCTAGGCTTTTTACAATTACAGAAAAATAATAGGGCTCATGTTATAAAATAGCTGAGTCATCAGAAAGGCAGTAAAAATGAATCAACAAAACCTTTTGATGGCAAAGCAAGATTGACTTATTTTTCTTAGCACACTCGACTGCATTTTTGCATGCTAGCAAGTACCGCTATTCGAAGTTGAAAAGCAACTGTTCACCACTGCCAACATTACGTTGTGTCTACTCCCACAGTGCCCTGATCATTAAGAAAACCTTTAATGTTTTGAGGAGTCTATTCAGTATTCACTGAGAGCTGAAAATCTTTTCAACAGGTTTCTAAGACAATCTTACTAATGTATCCTTTGTGATGGTGAGCTATAATTTTGATAAATGGATCCTGGACACCAGCAGATTCAAACATATAAGTACAGTCATGAAAGACATGGACAAATTCAACACAATTAACTACTTTTAGTGCATTCAGGACTTGAAATTTGGATATGGTTCTTTACAAAAGGAACAGATGACTGAAATGAAGCTAATTCCTTAGGATTCTTTAAGAACGTCTGGATCAGAAACTGGCAAATTCACAACTAATGAGAAATAGGATGGGGTGAGGTAAGAAGTAGATACAACCCTGTATGTTGAAGTTTATTTTTTATTTTGAGAAGTCCTACAGTATGTAATCTATATATCAATGCATTATTAATGTTGCTCATGTGCTCATATACACTATGGGGTAAAATATTTAGACATTTTACATTGTTCTATACTTTTTGATAAATGGTTTTCCTTAATGTAGAAATAATTTTCCACTAATTTATTTACTGTAATGCTTATTACATTTTGATACACTAATCCTGATAGATCGGTATTTTGTAGTACAATGCTTCATTTTGGCCATTCATGTATATATTATTTGGCATTGTTGTGATAATGATTGTCACATAAACATCTGAATGACAAATGAGAATTTTTCTCATCCATAATGAGCTGTATTAATACCAGACCAAGATTTTATATATATATATGCGTTCTAAAACCCTACAGTCAGGTTAGGTGTTGCTGGTGTAAACAGAGAAACTGTACAGAAATCTACAGTGAGTGTCTAAGGCCAAACTGGAATTTGGGATAGCCTGGAAGATCTGTTCATAAGGGAGGGTGTCAACCTGACGTTTCCTCTCCAGAAATGAAGAAATCAGAGAATCATGAATGATCTCCACCTCCCTTTTGGCCAAAGGAATCATACTGTACCTTATCGTATCATATCTTATATTAGTCACCTGCTAATTACTTTGCCAATTACAAAAACAAACACTGAAACACTGAACTGCACAAAAAGCCTCTCACTGCTCAGTTAGGAGAAAGTTACGAGAACAGGTTGCTTGCTCTAAAAGATTCATTTCCAAACAGCTTTCTTTTTAATGAATCAAATTCTTCTTTTGTAATTCACTTCTTTGCTTTCATCATTTGTGCTATTTATGTTAAACTACAGACAGTGACTAAAATGTACATTTTTACTTAAACAAGTAGAGAAAAATAAACATTTAAACAGAAAAGTCTAAAAACTGAAACAGATCTGCTTAAAGACAATTTAGCCTATCCAAGGAATATATATCTTACTAACTTCTCATTTTGAAACCGGTGGAACAAAATAGTTAGGATGCCATAACTTTGTGTGTGAGTTTGAGCACTAGTTTAAAACTGTTTTTAAACGATATATGAAAAGCTGTAATGAATACAATAGTACAATAATAAAACTTATTACACGATTGCATGATTTACCGTGTTTATATTTATTTACACTTTCAAAGTACACTGAAAATAAATGTTGTAAATGTAATCCTTCACTCCTTTTAGTAATCTGGCAGGTTTCATTTTAAGAAGTTTTGAAGTCCACCATCCATAGGAGTTCCTGTAATAGATAGTCAAACTAAGTGAACCAAGGAGGTAAAAACCTGGTCTGAACTGACCAGGAGGTCTATTTTAAATTGGCTGTTTTATTTGCATTCACAGAGTAATCAACAAAACTGTCTGACAACTTGGCAAAGGCAAAAGCTGGAGAGGCATACACGTGACTGGTGTATGATGGATGAGTGAATGATGGGCCCTGGGTTTGCAAGTCCTCATAGTTCTAATAGCGCAACAGGACTAAATGAGCTTAATGGACCAAATTAACTCCTCTCATTTATAGTCTTTCAGATGTATTTCTAATAAAATGCACTCTTGTAAGGTTGTAAACAGTAGCATTTCACCAGGTCCCCTGTCAGGTACTGTATATCCATGTTTTTTTTTTATTTTACCAACAACCTATACTCTTTTCTGAAAACACTTTAATTTTCTGACTGATATTTAATTTCTACTTTTCTTGATTTGTTTCTCTACTAATGAAGCTGTTCTGAACAACAATTGCACACTAGCTTCATCAGTGAATATTGTGTTTGTTATTACTTAAAAGTAGTTTTATACAGTACTTTAGTTGTCCAATGTTCTTAGTTTTCTTTTTACCTTTTTAACTCTCAAAAGGTTGTGCAAGTTTAAAAATCAGCACAAAATACATTAACAATTGCTTGTTTTCCAAATTATAGATAGATACTTTATTGATCCCGTGAGACTAATTGCAGTGCAACAGCAGCTTAACACAGACAACACAGCAACAGTGTAATGAATGATACAATAATAATACAATACATACAATACAATCAGTACAGTGAGAAGTGCACTAAGAAGAGTTACTCACAGTCCAGAACGCACAAAGAACAAACCAGAACAGAACAGTACACAAAAGTTGTATTGCATAATATAAATATAAATGTATTGCACAAGTCCCTGCCATATATTGTAAACGGGATAAAGAAAAAGAACAGATGTAGCAGTTTACTGTTCAGTCCAGAAACAGGTCACTGTCAATGTTGCCTCTGCCCAGGCGCAAAGTGGATGCGTTATACAGTCTTATGGGAGAAGGCAAGAATAACCTCCTGTAGTGCTCCCTGTCGCACCGTGGATGGATCAGCCTATTGCTGAACGTGCTCTTCATTTCTACAAGCATGTGATAGAGGGCATGGGAGACGTTGTCCATGATGGCCTCTAGTTTTGACACCATTCTCTTCTCAGCCACTACCTCCAGGGGGTCCAGGCCAGAACCAATGACAGAGGTTGCTCTTCTGATGAGCTTGTCCAGCCTGTTAGAATCCACTGCTCTAATCCTAGAGCCTCAGCATACCACCGCGTAGAAAATAGCGCTCACCACAACAGACTGATAGAACATACAGTATGTAGCATCTTAC